GGGCCAGGGGGAGGAGGGGGCAGCGGAGGGAGGGGCCCCGGTGAGGAAGGAACACCAGACCCAGAATTTGGATGTCTGGGTGACGCCACCTCTTTGCCTCAGTTTCCCCACCTCCACGCCAAAGGGTTGGGCTATGGCCTCTGAGGGTTTTTGCAGTTTTGGATTTTGGAGGGTTCTGTGGGTGGGAGGGAAGGGGTGAGGCTGGGTCAGAGGTCACAGCAGGGGGTAGAGGTCAGTCCAACACCTTATGTAGGATCACCATCCTTCAGGTTAGAAATGAGGTGCCAGCCAGTCTGTGCCCCAAACCTGCTCCGCCCCCAGGTCCCCATCTCCAGAACAGCCCCATCATCCACCCAGGCACAGGGCCAGACCCCCCAGCCTGCCCCTGCCCCCTCCCCTTTCCTGCCTCTGTCAGCCATCAGCCCCATCCTCTGCCCTTGACTCTCTGTCACGTCCCCTCTGTGTCCCTATATCCCTGACATTGGTCAGTCCTAATTCTCTCCCTATAGACTCTTGCCCCGGCCTCCTCGCTGGACTCCCTGCCTCCAGTCCTCCACACCCAGACCCAAGCCTTCTCCCAGCCCTCCTGTGGCTCCCTAGTGCCCCGGGACAAGAGTTCCAGTTCCCAGGCCTGACTTTCAAGGACAGGCATGGTGGCCCTTCCCAGGAGCTACCACTCCCTCGTCCTGGGACTCACCATCCCCTGCACTTTCCTCCCTAAGCCCTGTGCCACCCTTCCACACCTGGCAAATCTCCCCTCCACATGCAGTGCAAGTAGCTCCTCCCCGTGACAATGATGGTTGGAGTCACCATGGATTGAGCGCCTACTGTATACCAAGCTCTGGTCCAAACCCCTCAGGTATATCTGTGCTGATCCTGCCAATAGCTTTGTAGAGAGGCGTCAGTGTCCACAATCAGTAAACGGAGGCCCAGAGAGGGGAAGACACTTGTCCAGGATCACGCAGCCAGGGAGGAGCTGCCCCGGCCCGCTCGCTGCCTCGGATCTGCGCCCGACGATCAGCCTTCGGCAGCGCCCCAGCCCCCGGCCAGGTTTCCAGGCCGCTCGCTTTCGTAACCACCCGCCCGTCATCCTGAAGCCGCTGTGTCCCAGAAATTCGAACATGCTGGCAGGTCCTCACACCAGGGGCAGCCCAGAAGCCCTGGCAGGCTGCATGGCCCAGTTTTGAGCCTGGAGAATAAAGCTGGATGGCAAAGGGGGAGGGGGGACGCCAAAATCTTCTCTGGGTCTTTCCATCAAAACAAATTGACCAGGATGAAAAAAACAAAGAACCCGAGGGGTCCTCGGGGAAGAGCTGCGGCCTCAGACAAGTTCCCAGCTCCCCCTCGCTTATAACGCCCGCCTCCTCTGAAAATGGGGAAGAATGAGAATATTGGGGTGAGCCACGAAGCTTTCCACGTGCCGGCCGCCTCCCGCGCTTTGAGCCCGCCGTGGCTCAGGGGTTCGTGAGGGTCCGTGTGCAGTGCTGGGTGCGTGGCCTTGGCCATCAGGATACTAACCAGACAGGCCCTGGCTCAGGACCCAGTCACTCTCACTTTACACGCTGCTACGCTTCGGGACCCACCCGGTCAGGGGCTTGCAATATGCCATGCCCGGAATTGTGGTCCTCACAACAGCCCCGTGAGCTGGCATTTTTCACCTATTTTAAGGAGGAGACCTATGAGGCTTGGAGAGAGTTTTTGCTGCCTCAATGGACACCCAAATCCAAGCTATTGGCACTACAAGAAGTACCAACAGGAAGGAGAGGTGAGGGGGCAAGAGCGGGGATGGGGGACATCTGTAACACTGTCCACAATAAAAAAACACACACGAAGTGCGCGCACACAAAAGGAACATGTCTGGGCTGCTGGTGAAGGGACACGTATTGGGAATCTCCCAGGCTCTGGGGCTCTCAGGACAGGTCTTTGCTAAAGACCTACAACAGCTGGGCACATTCACTGTAGATTGTTCCCGCTAGAAGCCCAGCATCCTCCTCGCAGCTGGGCAGAGCCATAGGCAATCTGCATGGCCCCTTCTTCCAGGAAGCTCTCCCTGATTGCTCCAGCCAGAAGGCATCTCTCTCCCAGGTGCCTGTCCCAGGCTATGTCTGTTGGAGTCCAGACAGGACCCCAGTCTGACCCCAAAGGCTGTTTCCTTCCACTGTTTCCCTCTTCTTTTCAGGTTACAGCCACAGTTTCACATGATGCCATTGATCCTGTCACCTCCCCTGGTCAGAACCCACCTATGGCTCCCACCTACTCAGAGAAAAGCCACAGTCCTGCCTGCCTTCATTTCCCACCCCACCCCCACTCACTCGGCTCTGGCCAGGAGGCCTGGTCCAATCCTTGGAATACACCAGGTACACTCATTCTCACCCCAGGGCCTTTGCACTGGCTGGTCCCCCTTGCCCAAGATATCTCCATGGCTCCCTCTCCTCCTCCCCTCCCATCCTACTTAAAATCCCACCTCCCCCTACCACCCTATTTAAAATCCTGCGCACACATTCCTTGCCCTCCTTGCCCACTTGCCGGTGCTCCTTAGCTCTCTCCCCAGCTGCCATCTATTTTATTTATTTGTCCATGGTCCCTCCCCCACTCCTGGGCTCAGGGGCCCTGTTCTGCTCACTGCTGTGGCGTATCCGCAGCTGAGCAGGCCTTAGTTGAGGGGAAGTGGGGGCCATGAGGAGGGGAGAGTGGG